TATGGCATTGTGTTTTACCAATAACTATATTCACTGCCTTACCAATAAAAAAAATCCACTTAGGTTAACTAGTCATATTAAAGTTCTGCAAACTACAACCACTGAATCAAACCCAGCCCACAGCTATTTCTGTATGCCCCTGTTCTAGCTAAGCTGAAAATGGTTTTTATATTTTTAAACAGCTGAAAAATTCAAAGGAAGATAATATTTTGTGACATGAAAATTATGGGAAATTTACTTTTCAATGTCAATAAATAAAGTTTTATTAGAACACAGCCACTCTCATTTCATGTGCGTATTATCTATAGCTGCTTTCTCGCAACAATGGCAATTAAGTAACTGCCACAGAGACTATATGCCCTCAAAGCCTAAAAGATTGCCCTTTACAGAAGAGGTCTGCTGACCCCTGGGTGATATCAAAGAAAATTTAAAGTTCCTAATAATCTGCAGAAAAGTCACAAATATTTGTTTAGAATTGGAACATCTTATATCACTCTCAGATGAATCTTCCTAAAACACAGTTCAGACCATGCCTCTCTGCTACCAAAAATGTTTTTAATACTCCCTGCCTGTAAAGAAAAGCCGAAAATACTTAACAGGTCATGCACAGTCAAGGCCCTCAGCCTTCCATTCCAAGGTCATCTCCCAAACTTCTCTTCTTACACCATATAACCCAGATGGCCTGAATTATTTGCTATCCCTTTACATTCACTATGTCATTCCTACTACATGAAATTCCCTGTCCTGAATATAGTGCAATTCAGGGACCTCAGAGTCAGATCTGGGCTCTAATTCAGACTCCTGCCCCTATCAGCCGAGAAAGTTACTTAATCCCTCTGAACTTCAGTTTTCTCACATAAAGAGTGGAAATAATAATCCTTGCCTCATAAGTCTGTTATAAGATTTTAATTCTTGGCATACAGGAACATTAAAAAGCAGAGACATTACTTTGTTAACAAAGTTCTACATAGTCAAAGCTATGGTTTTTCTAGTAGTCATGTATGGATGTGAGAGTTGGACCATAAAGAAGGCTGAGCACCAAAGAATTGATGCTTTTGAACTGTGGTGTTGGAGACGACTCTTGAGAGTCCCTTGGGCTGCAAGGAGATCAAACCAGTCAATCCTAAAGAAAATATTCATCGGAAGAATGGTCGCTGAAGCTGAAGCTCCAATACTTTGGCCACCTGATGCAAAGAGCCAACTCATTGGAAAAGACCCTGACACTGGGAAAGATTGAAGGCAGGGGAAGGGAATGACAGAGGAGAAGATGGTTGGATGGCATCACTGACTCAATGGACACAAGTTTGAGCAAGCTCCAGGAGATGGTGGAGGACAGGGAAGCCTGGCCTGCTGCAGTCCATGAGATTGCAAAGAGTCAGACACAGCTGAGCAACTGAACAAGAACAACATATAGGAACAGCTAAATAAGTGATAAGTCAATTCTGCCCAACTACAATGCTACTTTCTCCTTTGCTTTCCCTTATCCTTCCACAGGGAAATGACCTCTCTGTCATGTTGTATACCATGGTATCCACCTGTCCCACTCTATGGCTCTGATCCATATCTACTACCTTATACTTTAGTGATCTCTACACATACCTTATCTCCCCTACCAGTCTAGGACCTCCTTGAGGGCAGGATCCCATCTGTGACTTTCTCTGTAACATTTGTAACAACCCTGAGAACAATGGCTTGAATTTAGTATGTGAATGAGTATTCACTGAATGAATGATACATGTTCACTGAATTATATAACATTTATTTGGTCTATCACGTTCACTTGTTGTAAATACCTAGCCTAAGTGCACAGAAAATACTCATACAACATCAGGGACCAAAGCTGCCAATATAAAAACAAAGAACAGGGACTTCCCTAGTGATCCAATGGTTAAGAATCCACCTTGCAATGCAGGGGACATGGTGGGGGTTCCACAATGGTGGGGGAACTAGGATTCCACATGCCATGGGGGAGCCTGCAAGCCACAACAAAAGATCCCACATGCCCAGTGCAACCAAATAAATAAATATTTTTTGAAAAAGAACAAAAAGAAAAGTGGGCAATATATTCACCTTTCAGAGCGCCAATGTTTTTGTCATTGATTTAAATTATAGTCACCATTTTTTACTCCAACGATTATGAATAGATCACATTGAAGGGGAGGGGGCAAATCAGTCACTTTCCCAAAGAAGACATACTGAATATCATTCATAACATCAATTACCTCTGAGCACAGATCTAAGGAAATCTAGATATTCAAATAGGATCCATATTTGATAAACTAATTATCACACACAGCTGTGACTAAAACCTTATCTAGAGCTCTGTACAAAATCAAACACAAGCAGGAAATCAAGTTCCTAACAACTTAAACAAAAACTGCAGCTGATTTTTGCAGCATGAAGCACCAGGTTTGTTGGTTACTAGAAACACTAACCAGTTGATTTGATGGTCAATTTAATAAATTAAATGAAAAAGTGCCAATAATTCTTTACTTTTAATGCCAGATTCCAAATGACAAAATGAATCCACACACATATACAAAATTAATCACTGAGCCACGCCAATATAGGGAATGAACTTTCCAACAAGATGACAGCAAAAAAATGTTTCCAACTACTTTTGTTTATGGATTTCCCTTTAGAAACCTACCAAAAAGTATATTCAGCCAGTATGTTATTAACCTGAAGATGTATTATCAACAATTTAAAATATTTAGCCATTTCCATTTACAAAATACTTTCACAATCCATTAACTCCTTTGAACCTCAAAGCAACTCTGTGAGGTGCATATAATTACCCCCATTTTATATCTGAAATATATGATATGTGCCTTCCTATCCCAAAATTGTGACGCCAAGATTGTAACGCAGGTCTTCTAATCTAAATCCAGTGTTCTCTCTTCCTTTTTCCTCCACACAAAGCAAAAGTATACCTTTGTTTTGCGTCTACCTCACATATTCTGAAAAAGTTGCCCAGCTAGCCCATTTTGAGGAAGCAGAGTGGGAGTATAAACATTACTGTGGTCAAGACAGAGGGAAACATCCTGTCTTTGCCTCTAGCAAATCATGTTTTTAGAATCATGTAACTTAAAGAAAAGAAATGGAGTCTGGGTTAGCTGCTGGGTTTTATTTCCTAACTGTCCTATTTTTGGCTTTCTGTGTATACTCAGGAAAGGAAAACCACCATAAATACCAAGAACCCCCTGAGCCAAAATAACTCTTGGATCTTCTGCCCATATGCAAAGGTTTAAACCTTCATAATTGTCGACTCTCACCACTTTTAATCCCCCAAAAGGAAAGAATAAAAACCGTAAATTACCACTTGCCTAGAAAACTTTCGCCCTTCCTCAACCATTTTATTGAACTGTATTTTTTCCTTAAGGATCTTAATCTCTCTGATACGCCTTAACAACTCTTTTTTTAGCAGAAATACTTTCAGCTTATCCTACACTTCACAAAGTCAGTCCCTTCTGGGGGCTTAGATGAGCTTCATTTAACTATGAACACTGCACTAAGTAGTTTACTGGAACAAGTAAACAAAAAGAAAATCCAAACATTTCCCGCTTTTCCTTTCAGGAACCCTCACCTTTCTAACTACTTTGGTAGCACAACCAGCATATCTTTAACCTCTCACTGAAATCTATTAAGTGGCAACACACCCCAAACCCTGGGCTAAGGTCTCTAAGGATCAGCATTTCAAATACCCCATCTTTAAGATGCTACCAAGAGTTTACTCTTGTTCAGACTAAAATAAGACACACCATCACATGATCCAATTCAATGAAACAACAAGTAGGAACTTGCAACACTTATGACCAAAGTAGGCAGACAACATATACAGGGAAAGCCCAGACTCCAAGGGGAAAATCAGGAGAGCTACACAACAAACACCACTGCACTGCGGCTGGCAAGTCTTTCTCCTTGCTCTTGGTTGGCTGTATTTGCCTTAAGAAGGTCCCCACACTGGACCAGACACACTATTTGTGGGATAAATCCACTCAGAAAAAAAATATTACAGGTATACAGAATATATTTGCCAGTGACTTTGACTTTATTTTTCATAATCATCCTTCAACCAAGAAGAGAAAAAATGAATTATCACCACCCATTCCCTATTTTCCATTTTTCTGGGTATATACTTTGGCACAATGGATTGATCTGCCTGCACTCTTGTTGGGGATGTTTATTATTCTTTCTCTTACTCCAAACCTTCTGCCAACTAGCAGAAGTAAAAAATCTATACACAGTGGGGAAGCGGGGGAGGGTCCAAGAGTTCTTAGTTCTGAGGACCTGGAAAGCCAAGCTAGGTGAGGTTCCTTCAGCCTGGTGACTCCCAACCTGAGCTCTCTACTATGCTCCCAGGGAGCTGGGCTCCTCCTTCTAGGGACTAGGCAGGTCTTTGTTCCACCTGCAAGGAGAATTCAGTGGCACGTGAGGTCATTTAATAATTCTGAACTTAGACCAACCTTGAACACAACCATAACTCAGTAACTTAAAGAGAAAAAAAAAAACACTAAGGCAAAGGTGCTTTCCTTAGAAAATAACTTGCCATTGGCAATTTCTTACTACCCCCATATTTATCTGCAGCAACCAGAGGCCAAGCAGAAACAAAACCCTGACTCAAGCTGCTGGCCTGAATTCCCAATTCTTTAGGAGGTTGTGGGGCAGTTCTTTGGTCAGCTTAGATGTCCCTTTCATACATGGGTATAAACATGTCCAACAGTACAAGTGGCCTGTCCCTTTAGAACAGGAGTCTGACAAGAAAGGATAGCTGCCGAACAAGACAGTCCCTCAGCTACAGATCCGGTCTCATAAAACCAAAACCACCAAAGGGGAAAACCCCAATTCTAGTTGTAGCCACCAACTTCCACTTCTACTGACCCCACTTCCAAAATATCCGGAAAACCATGAGCCTCAGACACTTGGGCTGGGGTGTGGAAGATCTCCAAAGGCCAGAGCCACCGGCTCACACAAACTGTTCATCGAAGTCTTCCACTTACTTCTCATTGCGCTGATAAGCGCGTTGCCGTCTTTGATCACATCTTTGATGAATTTATTGGTCCTCTCCAGTTCCTGCTCATAACACTTGAGCCTCTCGCGGAAATCAGGACTGTCCAGGTAGCAGTCGCTGAACTCCAGCGGGGGATGCCCCATGGTTCTGATGACAGGGATTGGAAGGAGAAAGGAAAGACACAAAGACCAAGAGCATCAGTGGCACAGTACGAGGAAAAGATGGGTTGCGCAGAGTGCAGGACCCGTTTAGGAAGCTGTAGCCTCCCTCCTTTTAGAGGGCAGATACCTGTTCAGAAGAGATTCCTGGGGACAGCTGGCTGGTCTGTACCGGAAACGGGCGGCCCGGCGATTGCTTCAGGTGACGGGGAGAGCTAACTAACGCAGTTGGAGCCCGGCGGGGTGCTGCTTAACAAGCAACATGCCCCCTCGTCATCGCTCCCCTGACAGGCAGCAGAAACCAACTCGTCTCTCCTCCAGAGAGCGGCCTGATCCTTCCCGAGCAACTGCAAACGTGACACTTCGGCCCGCCCAGGGTGTAGGCGGGGGTGAGCACTGAGGGTGGGAGGTGCCTCTCCTTGCTCCCAGCTGCCGAGCCAGCAGAAAATTTCCTTTGCCGAGCTCCGTGGGTAACCCGGAGTGCACTGTCCCCTCCCCCTTCTTAAAGCCAGCGCCTCCGCCCTTCCCGGGCGAAGCCCATGTACCGAAGCAGGGTACTCAGGTTCCTTAAACTGTATCTTACTTGCACCCTATGGTCTCTTTACCAGAATCTGCCGTGTCCTAAAGTTCTTCCTGGTCCGAGGGAGCGGCCTGTTGTCCTGCTAAGCGCCAGAGGTGTTAAGCCGGGCGACAATGAAACGTAGCCTTCCTCCTAAGACGCCCGAACGGGAAGAGGAGGGCAACAGCGCGACGCACAATAGCTGCGGTAGCCCGGCGCTTCCCTACGGAAACTGGGGAGCAGTCAGCTCCCTAGACTCCAGCTGGAAAGCGTGGCGGCTTGGGAGATGTAGTCTTTCCGTTTCGCGCCCTGTGACTCCTTCCTGCGATCTCCGCATTACCCTGCCAGGGCGCCGGCTCTCACAAAGAGTATTCCCAGCCCACCCCAGCTAATAGCTGTCTTAGCGCAGCCTCCAGGGGCAGGTGCGCCCACACTAGTTATTGTTTTTCAGTCGCCAAGCCGTGTGGGAATCTCTTGCGACTCAATGGACTGTAGCCCACCAGGCTCCACTGTCCATGGGCTTTCCCAGGCAAGAATACCGGAGTGGGTTGCCATTTCCTTTTTCAGAGGATCTTCCCCACCATCTCCTGCATCAGCAGGCAGATTCTTTACCACTAAGCCACCTGGGAAACCCCTAGAGTATACCTGGAAAGCTTCCAAAATGGGAGGCAGTGAGAATCCAGGAGAGATCAACTGTGGGATGATGTCTCTCACTTCTCTTTATTTGGCTTGATTGTTTGTTGTTTTTTTCCTTCCTTTTTCCAGCTTCCCTCTGACTGACCCACTTCTATTTCTCCTCCCTTTCCCATTTCTATGAGCTCTAATTCCCATGTGCCTTCTATCTGAAGGGTTGACTTCTGCTCTGGGATCTCTGTGTTAAGCTCAGAACCCCCTGCCAGAGAAAAGGAGGCCATAATTAGGAATTCATTTTTTCCTGAATAGGACCACAAAGTGTGGTTTTTTGATCCAACTCATTGCATTGGCTGTTGATTAAAGCATGTGATTTTCCATGTGTAAGTAGAAAAGCTATAAAGAGGATATTATAAACTGTCTTGCAGCTTCCCTGAGAGGCCTCTTTTCCATTGTCTATTGTAGGAGAATTAGGGCTACTCTTACAGGTGGCTGCCTTTAGACTAACAGTAGCTAGGGGCTGGAAAATAGTGTGTACATAAGCAAAAAGATTGAATTTAATTTTGGGAAAGTGTTTAGATTACATTGCCTTGTGAAGAAAGCCAAGAAAGCCAGAACTGAAGGAGATTGTAAATAGAGTAGTAACAGCTTCCCTACCTGTATTAGTATCTTATTGCTGCTGTAACAAATTATCACAACCTTGATGACTTGAAATAGCAAAAATTTATTATCTTACACTTTCGGAAGTCAGAAATTAAAAATAGAACTCTGTAGGCCAAATCAAGATGTCAAATAGGCTGTGTTCCTTTCTGGAGACTGTAAGAGAGAATCCATTTCCTTGCCTTTTCCAGCCTCTGTAAGCTGTCCACATACCCTGGCTCATAGCCCCCTTCCTCCATCTTTAAAGCCAGTAGTGGCCAGTCAAGTCTCTCTCCCACTGCATCACTTTGACACTGACCCTCCTGCCTCCCTCTTTCTCTTCTAAGGACCCACCAATAACCCAAGATAATCTCCCCATCTCAAGATACTTAACAAGCCTGCAAAGTCCTTTTGTCATGTAAGACAATACAGTCACACATTCTAGGGATTGTGACATGGATGTCTATGGGAGAAATATTCTTTACCTTCCACACAGTCTATAATTCCATAACCCAATTTGCACATGTACAGGGGCGTGCATGCTCAGTGGCTCAGCCGTTTCCAACTCTTTGGGACCCCATAGACTGTAACCCACTAAACTCCTCTGTCCATGGAATTTTCCAGGCAAGAATACTGGAGTGGGCTGCCATTTCCTACTCCAGGGGATCTTCCCCACCCAGGGACCAAACGCGCATCTCCTGCATCAGCAGGCAGATTCTTTACCACTAGAGCCACCTGGGAAGCCCATAACCCACTTCATGAATCCTCAAAACAATCTTATGAAGTTAGTATTATTATTATTATTATTATTATACCCATTTAAAGATGACACAGCTGAGTTGAAGAGACGTTAAGTGACTTAACCTCAGCTAGTTTAAACTTGAGCCTACCCTGCTTTTTTAAAAAAATTTATTTTTTTCAATTGGAGTATAATTGCTTTAGAGTGCCAGGTATACAGTTCTGCTGTACAACAATGTGAATCAGCTATATGTATACATATATATACTCCTTCTTGAACTCCCTCCCTCTTGAGCTTCCCTCCTATCACCCATCTCACCCCTGTAGGCCATCACAGAGCACCGAACTGAACTTCCTGTGCTATATAGCAGCTTCCCACTAGCCATCTGTCCTACATGTGGAGCCTACCTTGCTGTTAACCACTACACTATATCACAGTAATGGACAAAAGTCCAATGAGGAAACTTTCGGAGAATTAATAGGTAGCCACGTCCCAGGAAAGGATTTTATCTCCTACTCATTTTTCTTTATGAGAAAATGTCCATTTTCTTTAAAAACACCAATGCAGATACTAAGGGAAGATGCCCAAGGAATGGGTAAATGGTCTTTCATTGTAGGAAGATTCCCTATAACATTCATCAACTAATTCAACAAACATTTATTGAACACCTGCTTTATTTCTTGATTTATAGAGCCTAGGCCTATATTTTCATCATGATGAAAATTATCATTAACATTACTAATGTTTAGCTATCATCTAATCCCTGCACTCAAAGTGTTTTACAGTCATCTGTGTTATCCTTTACCTAGACAATGAAGCTAAAGTGCAGAGAAATAAAAGTGTCCTAGACCAAATACCAAGGAAGAAGAAAGAGGGTTAAAATTAGAACTTAATCCTTCAGTTAATAGCAGTATTAATTCTTATTCTAGATGCTTTGCACACACTAAACCTAAACCTGACAACACCCCGTATAGTATTGAGATCTTCAAATGTTTGTTCACATAATTCCTAAAAGTTTTTTGAGAAGCTATTTACTCCCTCACTCATTTCTAAGTTAACATCTAAATTTTTTCATCATGTTTAAACAGTTGAAAAAGGTATAATTTCTAGCATACTATAGATATTGACAATTTAAATTAAAACTTATATTACATATTTAAAGATATTCATTGGATTCTAGAAACCAGGGCAATTGATATCTATCATCAAACATTAAACTTGAAAGTGTAAACTTTTCTTTAACCATCAGGAAAAATACATTGTTTCTGTTTTCTCCTTGAAATCAAATATCCATTACATTCTTCCTACAGAATCATAGCCTATCATAATATATTTTTATAGTTGAAAGTCCTCTACTGAACTCCATATTGAATTTTTCTGCAACAAAATAGGTACACAAATAGAAATTGAATTATTTTTATTTATTTATAGCCATAAGTGTCTAATTATAAAAAAAGTCTTCTAGATTGAGTTATAGTTGCAATTGTTATACATACATAATAGGTAAAAATAGCATGAAGCTATTATACATCATGATTATTATTAAACATAAAATATAAAATTTTATTTGAAATGCATCTGTTAGAGAGATGGATGAGGAAGAGGTAAGTTACAGGGTCTTGAGTTAAAGAAGATTCCTGGATGTGAATATTTGAATTGTTGTTTTACTTAGCCCCAAGGGTTTATACAGCCTGAGTCAAAGTATCACAGTAAGACTCCTGACATTTGAAAGGTATGCTTTTCTTTTTAAAGACTGAGAAAAAGAGGTGGGGAAAAGAAGTGGGAAAGGTAAATCATTTTTAGCAAATATTAGCAAACATCATTTAGCAAATAGTACTAAATGAATTTAGTGACTTGAAAATTGTTCCCCTTTCAACTTTATTCATAATTTGTAAATGGATAAATAAACTATGATACATCCATGGAATGGAATATCATTCAGGGCTAAAAAGAAATGTGCTATCATGATATCACTTATATGCGGAATCTAAAAAAATGATAAAAATTAACTTATTTACAAAACAGAAATAGAGTCACAGATGTAGAAAACAAACATGTTTACAGGGGTGGGGTGAAAAGTAGGAGGGGGAATAAACTGGAAGATTGGGATTGACATATACATACCACTATATATAAAATAAGGGCAGAGAACTTGTCCTGGGATATGTAATATAGCACAGGGAACTCTAATCAGTACTCTGTAATAGCTTATATGGGAAAATAATCTATAAAAAAGAGTGGATGTATATGTATAACTGATCCATTTTGCTGTACAGCAGAAATTAACACAGCAATGTAAATCAACTATACTCCAATAAAAATTTTTAAAAAATGAAATGAGCTATTAAGACATGAAAAAACATGGAGGAAACACATGCACATATTACTAAGTGAAAGAAGTCAATCTGAAAAGACTAC